TGCAACAATGGGCTCGAGCATATCAGAGATGGTGAGGACAGTGCAGGGTGGGGCGGGGCTCACCTCTGGTGTTCGCAGACAGCACCTAACAGCAACAATTCTAATATAAAGAGTAAAAGGAAAGTATACTACCACCATCTATTTGTCACTTTGCCATACTGCGATGGCATGTGTATTGCTGTGATGCTGGAAGCCAGGCCAATGTTATTTCAAATAGCAGCAGGGAAATTCATGATAGACAGGTTTCAGTGGAGCTTCCAGGCTGACAGAGTATGGAAAAAGAGCCTGGTGATTTCCCTCTGAAAAATAGTCAATGAAAACATGATGAATCACAGCAGAACACTGTCTGACTCCCACACTTTGCATTAGGAGGTATCACTCGACAGAGAAGGACATTATGTGTGGTAAACTAGAGACCAGATAGGGTGAGGCAGACTCTCAGTGTGAGGGATCGGCACAACAAACTTGAACATGCCCTTGACCATAGGATGACATCGGACTGGGCAACACTTGGCATACAAATGGCACAGCATCAGAGACGACAATTACTCTCTAACTTATAACTAGATAATGTGCATTCCAATACCCAAATACATAGGCGAGACTATATTAAGACTACACAAATATATTTTTAGTTTATTTGTAAAATAAGACGCTCTGGTGGCCTAGTGGTAGAGTTGCCAACCTAAAGGCAAGCAGTTTGAATCCACCAGCTGCTCTGTGGGAGAAAGCTGGGTAATCTTTTCCCATGTGATTGATAGCCTCCAAAAACCCATTGGAGGGTAAGCTATGAGTTGGTTTGACTCGACAGCATGTGACAACATTGATTTCATAGTTATCCCATGTGTGTCAGGGTAGAACTATGCCCCATAGGGTCTCCAATAGCTGCTCTTTTTTGGAAATGTATCTCCAGGCTTTTCTTCTGAGGTACCGCTGGGTGGGCTTGCCAAGCTTTTGGTTGACAGTTGAGCATATTAACCAGCGGCACCACCAGTTAGTTATACCAAATTCTCTCACCTTTATTCATGTTCAATGTTATTGTTGTGTTCTTGCTTTGTAAGTTCCCATTTCAGAGACTGGGGTATGCTATGGGTGGTGCTCAACTCAACAACAACATTCTAGAGAGGGTCAGCAACAAAAGAGGAAGATCCTCAATAACGTGGATTGACACAGTAGCTATAACAATGGGATCAAACTCAGCAACCACTGTGTGGATGGCACAGGACTAGTCAGTGTGTTTCACTGTGTGTTGTATGTAGGGTCACTAGGAATCAGAACCATCTAATAACAATAATTCTCTTCTCTTATTTATCCAAAACATGAAATGCACCACGGTCCTCTTTGAGAGCTGGATATGCAACCTTTGAAACAAATGAGTCACAGTTTTAGCCTTTGATATGTTTTCTGAAACCTCTCCCTGGAGAATAGCAAGAGATTCCTAGAACACATTCTCAAAGTGGACACAAATGGTTTCTAAATTATTTGAACTGTTGTTCTTCTTTAGTAGTACCAAGACACGAAAGCAAATGATCATTTTTAAAAAGCCATTTACTGTAATCCCTGGGTGATTTTCCCCAGCCTGGCTGCAGCCTCAGGAGTAGAAAATGAACTGAGCTAGAAGAAAAGGACTAACAGGGCCAGTCTATGAGAGAGAGAGGGGGGTTAGGTTGCTAGGTTACCACTTAAGCCAATCCAAGGGCTCCCAGAAGGGTACCAGATACAGGTCGGTCTCTCTTTCTCTCTCTCTCTGCCCCACTAAGTTGAAGGCCTTCAAAGGGGGGGGCTGTAACAAAATAGGGGGAGGGGCAGATCAGTCACATTAAGTACAAGTCAAGAAATTAGGCAGATGCACAAAGAAACAGACATCCCTGTATTTGTAAAACCACTCGAGTCTCCTTCATTAATTGGTTTCCCCCGAAAGAAAGATTTCTTTATTAAGAAATACCAGAGAGCAAAAAAACCCCAATGCATACACATTTGTAGGCTCACAGAAAAGTGCAGAGATTTACATATTAAATTGCATTTCAGTTCGAAAATATATTTAGAAATAAAATACTTTCCACACATACACACACCTCTCCCCAACAAGGTAAAGAGATATGACCAAGTAAAAGGGGCTGTCAGGGTAAAGACAGGAAGGTCAGGGCTGGAAGAATGGAATTTAGCTATTATAGAATTAGAAACCACCTCCACCATTGGGGGACAAACAAAGGGGGAGACGATGATATCAGCCAGGGCAGAGGACATGAAGAAAGGCCCAAAATAGCCAACTTCCACTCTCTCCCCAGAGATCCTGGATCAGTGCCAACCATCCTGGCCTGGGGAAGCGGGGGGCACAGGAATCTTGTGGAATAGAGAGGAAAAGGAGAGTTGGAAAGGGTCTCAACTATTGAAAAGACCAAACAATTTACAATCTAGTCCCATGGGAAAGATCAATTTCTCAATCTCCCCCAGGACCAAAATTCGGATCAGGGATAGTCCCAGCCGATACATGGGTACGACTGGGACAGATCTTCTGGACCAAATCTGTGTCTTAAACACAGATGACTTTTAAAGGAAAAGAAAATGGGGAATATGAGCAAGCAGTAACTAGTAAAACAGTGGTAATTGTTTCACACTAGAGAGAAACATTTTTTCCACATCAGAAAAGGAAAGTTGCTCTGACCGACCTGGCATCAACAGAAGAACGGTTGAGGGAGGGACACAGAGGGAGATCTATCCAGTCCGACGCAGGAGAGGAGGTGCTCTGAGCCAGGATGGACAAAGGGATTCATAGGAGTAGCAGGCTACCCGGAGAAACCTAGTAGCGTCCAAGCCCTCCAGGTTTGGCCTGATTTTGGACTTGCCAAAATCTAACCACAGAACAAGACTGAGTGAGCCAGCCAAAAGCAGCAGGCAGGCAGGAGAGACTGCGTCTGCATCTCCAATCCAGTAGAGAAGGATTGCTCTATTCCAATCCTGCTACAAGGAAAATCTGGGAGCAGTCATATTTCATTTCATTAATTCCAGTTAAGTAAGAAGAGTGCAGTGGGAATTGGCAAGGAGTCTTGATTATAAAATAGTTTCAAAGGAATCTATACCACCACTTGGAAGAGATCATGCGCAAAATAGTCTAAAGAAGGCTTTGGTGGGCCTGTTTTGATAGTCAAGACTCATCTGCAATAAACATCATCCTTCTGCACAGAAACAATCTCATCATAAAGAATTTGCTCTGTTCAGTGTGTGTGTATATATCTCCTCACCTTCCCAGTCTTGTTAACAATGTATAGTGCTCCGTAAGCCCTTTCTTCGTGGCCCAGTAAAAGGTAAACATTAGCCCAGAAACATAGTACAGATCAATGGAGAGCGTGTGAACTTTCTCTCCAACATGAAGGATCCCTTGGGAAACGGAAGTATGACTTGTAAAAATTAACCCCCTTTAATGCCCACGCCCACCCACATCCCAAACCCCAACACAGTCACACCCCACAGAAGTTCTGGAAATGGAAGGGGGAAGGAGGAGGCAGGCAGTTTGCATTAGACACAGTTTAATCGCCTTCAAACAGATTAAAAGTTCTGGTTTACACTTCCCCCTCCCTCCCCATAAATCATCCAGACAGGACCCTGGCTTAGAAAGAGAAAAACACAGGTGCTCTAGGAAATATAGCCACGTATAATACCTAAATCTTCTTCCCTGAAATAGAGCAGGTCCTGAGCAGAGCTGACTGGGGGCCACAGCCCACCCCCAGGGTGAAGTGGCTCTGGGACCCTGCCGGTGGAAGTGCTGGAAAAGCAGGGCTCTCGGAGGAAGCCCCAGTGTGGTTACCGTAGCCCGAGGTGGGCTGAGGCCTTGGAGTGGGTCACCCGGGAGGGCAGCAGTGCTGGGCTTTCCCTCCTCACTCAGCCTAGGCGTAATGGAAGTATTGGTTATTCTCGTTGTTGGTTGGTTGGTTTTTTTTTGTTTGTTTGTTTTTGTTTTTGTATTTTTTTTGTTTTGTTTTTCCTGAAAGGACATAGGGGGAGGGGAGAGGAAAGCCTCTTTGTGCCTTGGTTTCCCCAGTTGTGCATTCTGGGCCTTCACAGGCCTCACACAGGGATTCTGAGGGGGGTAGTGTTTAAGTGAGCACTCGGGCTTCCGCTGAGGAAGAAAGGAACCACCAGAGTGCAGACTTTTATTACTGCCATTGCTGCTCCGAACGGGAGCGAGACTCAAGAGGGGAAAAAACCTAAAAGAGGCTTTCGAGTGAGGAGGAGAGATGAGACAGAGAGTATGAGGGGCTATGCCACTGGCATCTTGGAAGTTCTTAGTGAGAATGGCACAGGTAATTTTTTTAAAAAAAGGTCTACAAGGAATGCAAATTGTTATCGTTACCACAACTACTTACATATATCTAATTGGAGAAGAGGGGTACTCGGGCGTTAGAGTGGAGAGGGGGACAACAAAGGAGTGACTACATCAACGAATACAACAAGTGGAAGGTGCCTGCCCCATTCCCAAAAGGATTAGCTGGCAATGTTGGCACTTGAGTAGCTGGGAATCCTCCCCCAAGTCAATTCTCCCTCTTCTTCAATTCTGAAGGTCCCAAGAATCCAGTTTGGATTCCCCGGCCAGAGGTCTGTGTGGCTCTCTGGTCTTATGGCATGCAGCAGCTTGCAGGGATTTGAATCGCTCCCGAGAGCCTGTGACTCCAGAACTAAACCAATGACTGTGAGTAGGAGAGCTGAGATGTAGCAGGAAGAGAGGGAAGAACAAGGCAATTCCACAGCTGAGGCCATGGAAAACCAGTGCCAGGGCCCAAGAGACCCATTTGTCCAGTTACCAGAGGTGATTAGCATCTTCTGCTACTGTCTTTGAGTCTGGGGGGGAGGAGGGAAAGGGGGAAGCCATTGTGCGATTGGGCGAATAAAGAGCAAAGTAAAATGGTAATGGGGGCAGCTTACTTGCTCTCTGTCTCAGGTTCTCCCTTTAAATCTCTCATAGCCCTAATTAAACACAAACAAAAGTCTCTTCCACAGATAGGCTACTTCTCCGTTTCAGCCCCCTCCTGTGGTGGCTCTGGGGGTTCCGGGGGTGGCATCTCTTCAGGAGTGCTCGTTTCCTCCGGCATTTCATTGGAGCTCAGATGTTCTGTTGGGACCTGACAAGGAGGTAAAAAAAAAAATCCAATTCAATACAAAGCTCCCCTTCAAAATGCAAACCGAGAGAGTTTATACGCTCTGCACTCTTCCTCCGAACTCACTGGCCACCCTGGAGCCTCCAATACCAAACTCCAAATCCTGGCCACACTGTTCTTAGGAGGACGCACTGGAGTTTTAATGCGGGTTTTGTTCTTACCCGTCTAATTTGGACAGATGTTTACATTATTATTCATGATAATCATAATCGGGGCCACAAAGAATTGCATAAGCGCGCCATGCTTCACAACAGAGTGTTATCACGTACGTTCCCAGCAAGGCTTGACCCAGTGGTTCTAAACCCTAGTATACGCTGGAACAGAAGAGGGCGTGTGCCAAATTTTTCAGATGATCTCCTATTGTTTGAAAATGTCCCAAGGGATCCAAATATACCACCCTTGCCCACACCGAGAACCACTAAACATAAAACTAGACCACCTCGGTAAAATGATGATAAGACTATGTAAACATGACTCTGCTCTACTTCAAAAAAAGAAAATACAAAGTTTAGAAAAGGCAAACTAGGGAACAATTAGTCATCTCGCAAAAATCCTTTACATACACCTAACAAGTCTATTCAAAAAGAAAATTTGAACCTACTTTTTAAAACAACAACTAGTAGAACTAAAAAAAAATCATTCAGCAAGATTATAGGATACAAATTTAATAAACAAGTATCAGTGACATTTCCATACCCTCCTGGTGAAAAATTTTCAAATATCGGAGTTAGGTAAACTATTCTATATCACTAGAATCAAAAGAATTAAGGACTTACGAATAAATTTAACAAAAAGGTACACAACTTATAGGAGAACTCGAAAATATTGTTGAAAGACCTAAGTAAATGACCTACGTACGTAAAAGATCAAAGGCATCATGTTTTCCTGATTTACATATTGTTAGAATGACAACACTTCTCAAATAGATCGATTCTATGCACTATCCCTCAAAATTGCAGCTGGAGTCTGTGCCCAAATGGACAAGCTGATCTTAAAACAGATATGGAAATTTAATACTAAAAATAATTATAAAAAGGAAAAACAAATTTGGAGGACTAACACTTTTATGACTTCAAAACTTACCACAAAAGCTACAGAAGTCAAGAGAATATGATACCGGCTAAAGAACAGACATCTAGATCAGTAAAATAAAATTGGAAGTTCAGAAATAAATGTTCCCATTTAAAGTAAATTAATTTTTTTATAAGGATGCCAAGACAATTCAACAGGGAAAGAAAAATCTTCTCTACAAATAATGCTCAGACAACTAGCTGTCCTTTAAGGAAAGAAAGAGTACAGACTATGTATTTCACATCATATATAAAAAGTAAGTCAGGATGGACCAATACCTTGTATCTAAGAGCGAAAATTATATAACTTCTAAAGAAATGAGAGGCATAAATCTTCATCTTGGATTACAAAATGATTTCTTAGATGTGACATGAAAAGCAAAACTGGAAAAATTGGACTTCATCAATTTTTTTTTTTAAAAAACCCAAACCACCTTTCTGCTTCAAAGGATACCAAGAAAGTAAAGAAGCTACAGAATGGGAGGAAATACCTGTTATCATCTATCTGATAAGGAAAGTGCATAGAAAATATATTTTTTAAATTCTCACAACTCAACAGTAAAAAAAACCCAAGTCAACATAAAAAGAATTCTAAATGCACATTTCTCTCATGAAGATAAAGAAATGATCAATATGCACATGAAGAGATGATTAACGCCATTTGTCATTCTCACAAATACAAATCAAAGCCACAATGAGATATCGCTGGACACCTACCAGCATGGCAACACTTCTGTTTGTTTGGTTGTTTAAATTAAAAGGAAAATAACTAGCATTGGCAAGGATGTCAAGAAATTGGATCCCTCACACAATGCTAGTGGATATGGAAAATGATGAAGCCTCTTTGGCAAACAGGCTGGCAGTTCCTCTAAAGGTTAAACAAAGAGATACAATATGACTCATCAACTCTAATCCCAGGTACACAGCCAAGAGAAATGAAAACATATGTCCACACAAAAAACGTGAACACACATGTTCCTAACAGTATTATTCATAATAGCCCAAAGGTAGAACCAACCCAAATGTCCATCAAATGACAAATGGAAAATGAAAATGTAACATATACATAATATGGAATATTTTGCCATAAAAATAAATTAGTGATATATACGACCGTATGAAAGCATTATGTAAAAGAAGTCAGTCCCAAAAGACTAAAGATTATCATTTCATTTATTTAAAATGTTCAGATGAGGCAAATCTATAGAAACAGAAATTTGATTGGGAGTTTCCCTAGGGATGAAGGCCAGGGTAGGGGGTAAGGGGGATAGGGTAAGTAGGAGGGAAGGGTGAGTAATGGCTATCAGGGTTTGAAATGAGTCATAAAAATATTTTTAAATTTTAATGATCATACAACTCTGCAGATGCACTCAAAATCTGTGACTGTCCACCTGAAATAGGTGAACTGTACACTGTGTGATTTATATCTCAATATAGTTATTATGAGAGAGCTCTGGTGGCTTAGTTATGGTAAGGAGTTGTGCTGCCGACCCAAATGGAGGGAGTTTAAATCCACCAGGTGCTCTGCAGAAGAAAGATGTATAATCTCCTTCTGTGTGATTTACAGCCTCGAGTAAGCCTCGGGTCAGCTACGAGTTGGTTCCAACTCAACAGCACATAACAATAACAACATGGCTATTATGAAGAAGAAAGCTGAAGTAACAACTTGTTGGGAACCTGCTTCCTTTATAAAGTGGATCTTGGCGAAGACAGAGGCACCATTTTGCACAACAGCTGCATTTTTCACTGAGGGAGTCTCCTTCCACAAAGCCAAGCACTTCACTAACTCCAACACGATCCCCTGACTCTACTCTTAGTTCCTATATAATTTTACATGTTCTTTAATCTAGGCTCTTGTCACAGCATGGAGCAATGGTCTGTTTTCTTGTCCCTTGGCCCTCCCTATGCAGACAGTGAATCCCTTGAGAGCAGGACACCATTTGACTTGCTGGCTGATGTCTCCCTAACACCTAAGAGGCTGTAGCTCGCACAGAGAAGCCGTTCAAGATACGCTGAATAGATGAATAAGTCTTCATCCACCTCAGTGACACAAAAAGATCTGAAGACAATGCCAGGGCAGAAGCAGAGACAAGGAAACTGGGGCAAATCAAATACAGAACAGCCCATAACTGTAAAACTAAGCTGTAAAAGTAGCCTGTCCCTTGTGTGTTACTTAATTTATTAAGAAGAGAGTGGAATAAGTGGCTGTTTTTCTTCTCCCTCTTCTCCTGACAAGAAAAAAATTTATTAAATTATTAAAAAAATGTAGCCTGTCCCTTATGCTGAGTGAAATATCTCAGTCACAAAAGGACAAATACTGCAAAATGTTGCAAAATGGAATTGACATCAGATTTTGGGGGAAACAGATGAGGGATAGAACTGTTTAAAAGGAATACATGATTAGGCATTATTGTCATACCAAGAGTCCAGAATGAAACCTGTATAGTAGAGTGGACTGGGGGGTGGGGGTGTGTGTGTGTATGTGTAACAATGAAAGAATTTTTTTTACTTGTCAAAGAGAAAAGCCAACTGAGGGGGAGGGGTGGGGAGGAAGGAAAGTGTGCAACAATGAACGAACGGATATACAAAATAAATTTAAAATACAAAAAATATATTAAAAACCAAATATGCTACAATTTTAAATTTAAAAAAAAGTAGCCTGTCCCCAAATTGGGTGAAGGGATGTACACAATTAAACACTGTCATTACATAATTACACTAATCAAGGGCAATTAATGTTATAAAGCAAAATGTCTATGAATGATTATATGAAACAGCCAACAAGACTTGTAAACCTTCACTCAAATGAAAGAAAACAAGTAGCCTGCACCCTCTCTACCAGTGACTCCACCAGCTCATCAAGAACACTTACGGGGCTCTGTGGCAAGAGGCTGCTGCTAGTCTCTTGAGTACTGGGAGGTCGACTTCCACTTTCCTCCAGTGGCAGTATACCCCTTCGGTCCAGCACACTGAAGGGTCAGGAGATAGGAGAGTTAATAACACACACAGCCTTCACCCCTCCACCCACTCATCCCACTGAACCCTGCTGTGTAGACAGTCCTTTGGCAGGATGATCTGATTCTAGCATCTGCCTCCTATCTTCCAGTCACTTTTCTTCCCCACAAAGCAGGGAACATTGCATTTATCAGAAAATAAGCAAGATTTAAGAATACGAGATCTATCCCTCCACAACCACCAGCTCATGGTCTACTGTCTACACCATCAAAATATGGCACCAAGGGGCAATCCCTAGACAGACTCATATACCACATAATCTGACCAAGAGGCCACAGCCAGAAGACTTCATTCCACCAGATAAAAGAGACTAATTGAGCTATTCAGCCTAAGAGCCCCAAGACACCCTAGTCCCCTGAGTACCTGGGAGGCAAGGGGCCACACAGCACTTCACAACAGTTCTTCACGATATTGCCGTGGCTGTAGGGATTCTGGACACGATTCTTTCCTGTCCATGAGCCTTTGATCTGTAAGACAAAATCCAGGCCTTATGTTACA